TCCTCAGATAATCTTCTCTTGCTGCTGAACAGGATTTTCACTCAAATGCCTGAACAACCCCCCCCCCCCCAACCCACTTTAAATCAGCCTTCTTGTTTTGTGCCTCAGGAACAAACTGTGCCCAACAATGACACATCATCATCATCATCATCATCATCATCATCATCATCATCTCATAAAGACTGAACTGGGAACACGTTTCCCAGAAAAACAAAAAACACGAGTCGTTCTCACATCCATCAGCAGCAGCAGCAGCAGCAACAGTCTGGTTCCCCCCCTGCCCCAACTGTCGCCCCCCCCCCCCCCCTCTGTGTTCATGAACCCGTCTCTGTCTCTGACTCTGAGTCGTTCATTATCAGCACTTTAAATACAATTAAAACATGAGTTTGGACAAATTACACCTGCGGAAACGGAGCTAATGTTTCTGTCTGTCTGTGTCTGTGTGTACAATTATTTTAAACTTTGAACTTTGAAAAATTTTTTTTTTTTTTTTAAACCCAAACCAACCTGGATGTGTGCTACGGTCGTATCCACAGACTCTCACCCTGGTATTTCATGTACTTTTGACTTTGTCTCTGTTTCTGTTCTTGCCGCTCTGTCCTCTGTCCTCTGTCATCTTTCCTCTGTCCCTCTGTCTTCTGTCCTCTGTCCCTCTGTCCTCTGTCCTCTGTCCTGGGTCCTCTGTCCTCTTTCCTCTGTTCTCGGTACTTTTGACTTTGTCTCTGTTTCTGTTCTTGCCGCTCTGTCCTCTGTCCTCTGTCATCTTTACTGCAAATTGACAGACAGTGCAACCTGGGAGACTGCAGTACAGCGATGGCTTTGAACAGGCACTCTTCTGTCCCCTGTCCTCTTTCCTCTGCCCCTCTGTCCTCGGTCCTCTTTCCTCTGTCTTCTGTCCTCTGTCCTCTTTCCTCTGTCTTCTGTCTTCTGTCTTCGGTCCTTGTTCCTCTGTCCTCTGTCCTCTGTCCTGGGTCCTCTGTCTTCTGTCCTCTGTTCCTCTGTCCTCTGTCCTCTGTCCCCTGTCCTCTGTCTTCTGTCCTCTGTCCCTCTGTCATCTGTCCTCTGTCCCTCTGTCCTCGTTCCTCTGTCCTCTGTCCTCTGTCCTCGGTGGTTCTTCTGGTTCCAGTCTGATGTGGACTCAGCTCCGTCCGCTCCAGAGAAACTTATTAAAAGTAAATTGTGTGATTTTGAAAATACAGTCGACGAGGGTCTGAGGGTAAACAAAGAGAAAAGAGGTTTTTTATTGGTTCTGGAGATCCATGGTCTTTAATAAAAAGAGAGAGAGAGGAAAAGGAGGGAGAGAGAGAGGGAGGACAATAAGGAAAAGACTCCTCTGAGTGGCATAAAAAAACATTCTTGTAAATGCAGCTGGAAGGTAAACAAATGTTCAGTGTTGGTCCGAGAGCTGCTGACGGGAATAAAGAGAGAGAGGAGACGCAGCAGGAGGAGACGGAGACGCAGGAGGAGACGGAGGAGGGTCTCCTACCTCTGTGAGCACATTGATGGGGTGTGTGTGTGTGTGTGTGTGTGTTTTCTCCGTTATTCCCAGTCTTGACCTACATGTGCAGACGGAGCTCTGCTGCAGGTTTTTTATTTATTGGAGAGCGAGCGAGGCACTTTCACGCTCCGACCACCAGGTTTGGTTTGTCTGCGGCCGACGCTCTCCTCTGTGTTTGTGCTTTCACACTCGGCGTAGCTGCAGCTCAGAGCCACTTACACCTGTCTCTTCGACTCTTCTTCCTCTTGACATCCTGTACAGGCTGAGCTGCCAGGAACGCCGCCAGAATGTTCAGGAAACAGAAAAAAAAAAAAAAAAAAAAAAAACACAAAAAAAAAAA